AGGGACGGAGAGGACAGCTTCACCTTCTTCAGCAGACTGCTGGAGGTCAGTGTGTGACTTTCAGAGCAGATCAAAACAAAGCTCTGCTCAGACACACCTCCTTCATCCCTAAGCTCCCCCTCCCCACAAGATTCTGAGATCAATATCAAGTGATGATATTATATGTCTGTTCATTTTAGGCCTAAGAAAATATTTTCTTCGGTTTGTGAGGTCTGTTGGTTCTGCTACAGTTGCAACGACACTCTGTAACAGTGCCTCTAGACACAGCGTCCCTTAGTGGGTGGGCAAAGGGTTTGGTAGTGTTTGCGTGGTGGTGCAGTGGTTAGCACTGTTGCCTCACAGCGAGAAGGTTCCTGGTTCACTGTCTGACAGGTTTCTGTGTGGAATTTGCATCTCCCCCCCCTCCCCGTGCATGTGTGGGTTCTCCAGCTTCCTCCCACAGTCCAAAGACATGCTCGTTATGGTTAATCTGAGACTCTAAATTGCCCGTAGGTTTGAATGTGAGTGTGGCTGGTTGTCTGTCTCTATATGTCAGCCCTGTCATTGACTGGTTAACAGTCCAGGGGGTACACCGCCTCTCGCCCAATAACAGCTGGGATCAACTCCAGCCCCAACCGCGACCCCGAACGGGAAACGCGGTATAGATAATGGATGGATAGATAGGTGAAAGGTGAGGGAGCACGTTAGCTTTTTTAGATTTACAATTTACATGCAGTGTGAAACTATGAGCTAACTAAAGAGCGCTAACATTAGCCCGCTAACACAACAATGCAAGCCTCAGGCAATCACAGCTAGAGCCAAGGACAGTTTGCCTTTTTGCCAACGCGAGTGGAGAGGGGTTGGAGGTGTGTGGCTCGAGGAGAGGGGAGGCTTTAGTAGGGCGGAAGTGTTGCCAAACAGCAGTTTGTTTTGGTTTCATGCTGGTGCTCAAGGAAATTAAGTCAAGGTAAATGACCGAATGTTTGTTCTTCAACAGAAGCAAGTTCTCTTCTGATCACGGCTGATTTGTTCACACAGGAATCAAACTCTATGGTTAAAACTCCTGATGTTTGTAGAAGTAATCCACTGCCTCTCACTGCTGATCCACGCCCTTGTGGTTATTTGACCTGCTGTGATAGGCTGAACTAACTTTGTTATGTCTTGTTCTTGTATTTGATAGGTTTCATTATGACCAGATAAACGCAGTCAGAACCTTCACATGACTATATGTCACACAGATTTAATTTACATGTTTTCTGTTGTATGTTTTATAAAGCCCTTCTTGTATGCACTTTGATACAGGTACACTAACAACCCCTCTGTGCTCTCTCTGTGCTCTCTCTGCAGAAACTGATGGATGAGGTAACACTCGGCGACAAGGTGCCACGCAAGAAATAACGGGTGCTTGCTTCGTGCTTCCTGCAGATGGAAACATCTGGACCTGTTAACTTCAAACTCATCTACACTAGACAACAGGAGACTTTCTCTAAGCTCTGGCTCTGGAAAAGTTCAGCTCATGTTCTGCTCTGCCATGAATGTCTGTTTCAAATCGATAAGAAAGGGACACTTTTCATAAATAGATTAGGCTTTGCTGTAACCAGATGTCTGAATTCGAAGAAAGGATTTTGAATATTATCTTTGAACTTATGAAATCTGACCATTCTGTTGATGAACTTGTGGAACACTTGTATCATTGGTTCTTTTGATACTCAATTGAGAATCCAAAATCTTACAATTACTGACCTCGCAATGGGACTCAGCACCTCCTCCTCAAAACTACCTAAGAAAAAAATACTAACCTGAAGAAAACAAAAGACCCAAAACTACCTGTGGTCTCCAGCCCAAACTAAATGATAAGTATAGTGCTTTTCTTGTCTTTTGACTACTCAAAGAGCTGCTATGTAAAGTGACCATCAGTATTAACTAATACCATTCAAACACATTCATACACCTTCGACGAAGCAGCTTGAGCAACTTGGGGTTAAGTGTCTTTCCCAACGACACATCGTACATGTGTACGGTTGAGAGATGACCGACTTTACCGACTGAGCCACAGCCGCCCAGCAAAGAAAAAATGCTTGGGAAAAATAAATACCTGTGTTGGGGAAAAAGATAGCAACATAAATGGAGTAGAAAAGCTCCCTCACCACATGCTGCTCAGAGAGTGTGTGCACGAGAGCGAGCCTCTGCAAACCCTCCACTCTAAACCACCTCCCCCTACCTGAGCGCTAATTGCACCCAGGAGTGCAGCAAGCAGAGAGGAGAGAGAGAGAGAGACCAGGCCACAGGTAAGGCCCCCAAATAACATACAAAATAAATGACAATAACCAAGCTCCATACTTCTCGTGTTTTTCTGTGCTGAATGTGAGACCTGCACTCTTATGAGGAATAATACAGCTTTCAAAAGGGAAACGTTCTGCAGATATCCGATTAGAGTGTTCCCTCCAGCTGGAAGATATTCTCCTGATGCAGGATGTAGAAGTGTCTGTGTGCGTCTTTATTGACTATACCATCATCATAACCTCAACACTTCTTTCCCCCTGTCAGCCTCTTGTGGACACAGACAGTGTGATCAGTCATTTAGTTGGACTCTCTGGCAGGTGTGTTTTGAACGTTTTGCCATGCAAGCGTGTGTGACGGTTACCATGGCGATCCCAAAGAAAGCAGGCCACCCGCTCATCTCACTCCAAAAATGATTCAAACTGTGATCTCTTCTCTTGCATATTCGGCCTTTCTTTATGCATTCCGTCAAAATATTCTGTGGATGTTTAAAGCTGACATGCTCAGCTTACAGATGTTAACAAGGCTGATTTTCTTGCTATTTTTCCCCCTCATAGGCCATTTAATAAGCCCAACTTGATGAATGTGAACAGGTATTTAACAGGTTTGTAAACTTGCCAATGATATACAACTCTTTGTGCTTACATAACTGTTTTAGTTCATGAGAGTGTTGTTATTTTAAATCTATTATTTTGTAGGAATGCGTTTAAAGTGCATGTTCTGTATCATGTCTGAATAAATGTCATGTTTCTTCCAGGCTGTCACACTGTTTGATTTCAGCCTCATAAATCACAGATGACACAGTTTAACCATCAAGCGTTCCTGTTATTTTGGAAGCTCCTGCACTTAAAACAGGTGAATTCTATGATAAATCAAGTGGAATATGGTTAATAACAGCAACAAAATACTCAAAATCAAGTTATAAAACATACTTGTGTAGTATAACTAAGCGACCCCACTCGCACATAAACCCGAGCTGCAGTAGGACCCAAATCTAATCAGCTACAAACTTGTTTTCTTAAAAGTTGTGACGCTGTGTAATAATGTCATCATGCTAAAAACCAGAACACTGTCAGCTGAGTCCATGTCAGTTCGAAACAAAACAAAAGTGCTAAAGAGTGTCACACAAGTATGTGTCCAGTCTGTGGCTAGTTTAAAGGTGCACTATGTAGTTTTGGTAGAGAAATTTGAAAGTTGGAGAAATGTACAGATTCTGTATATGTTAATAACTCTCAGAGGAAATTTGGTCCCTGGAACACTGCTTGAAGATAAAATGCTAAGCGAGAAGCTACGGAGGGGGTCCGCAACAGTGAAAGTGTAACTCTCCTGGTAGCTTTTTAGCAGAACAGTGTTCCAGGGACCCTTTTTTTTACTTTGTGTAAAGTTTGTGTATTCAGTTCAGAAAATATATCAAAGAATTGTTTCAACTTCTCCAACTTAAAAAATTCACTACCAAATCTACATAGTGCACCTTTAATAGTTGACAACATTGTTTCATTCAGAATGAGATTATTTTTGTGGTGGTAGCTGTTTGTGGAACAGGCTCTCCACTCCCTCGGGTGGGCTGGAGAGTTTATCAGAAATGGACAGTTAGATTTCTTTCTATTTTTAAGACTTATTTTATGGCTCTTTACGGTCTGCTTTAGAGATAAGACAGAGTCAGAAATCGCAGAGAGGGAGAGTGGGGATTAACATGAGGGTAAAGGAGCCACAGTCTTACCCTTAGTAAGACGCCCCTGATTATTATTCCTTACAATGAAAACAACTGGCTTTTTGTAAATTTTATTTCATTCAAACAAACAATAAAGTTAAAGGAAAACAAACAAACATAAAATCTCAAATTTTGAATGAAAAGGAGCAGAAAGAAGACTAATCTCTAAAGACTAATTTGGTCGTTTCTTGCCTCGTTATGATCAGTTCCGGTTGGGGAGACTTTGAGTTTAAGTTGGCCTTCTGTCCGATGGAGGAAGTATTTTTGCAGCACAGTATAATACAAGACTGCCTCTTATGTTTGGAGAAACTCATGGGAGAAAAAAACTGACCAAGTTCTAGAGCTGCTGAGTAAAACAGGATCTGTCCATGATGCTGAATCCACATGCACGCTGCATACTGACTTACTTATTGGCATTTTTGTTTTGCCCTCAAAGGAAGATTTAAGCAGAATATTTTTTTTTTTACTTTGTGCTGTAACGGAGCTCAATGGGTAGCATGCACACAGTAGAGAGACAGGTAGAGAGACAGGCAGAGAGAGAGTCAGTGAGGAGAAGATGGGGGGGGGGAGATGATGTCATAGTTTTTAGTCGGTGCCATGGAAGAAGCAGAGGGCTGCAGCCTATCCATTTTTCTTGATCTGCTGATTCCTTCTACTTCCCTAACATCTGCCTCAGCATCAGGACTCGTGGAGGGCGGAGAGGAGCTCTGACCGCGGATGCAGACTCGGTTGCCGGTGTTTTGCGTGCAGGCAGACGATCAGCTGGATGTGAGCGGACCATCGACGTGATATGGACCAACATATCCGAGCATGCACGGGGCCACATCCAGTCATCCTTTCTGTCTTTATTCTGTATTATGAGGAGGCGACTGGGCAGAAGAGCTAGTCCTGCCCAGAAGGGAGGAGGAGGAGGAGTAGAAGAGACGCGCAGAAGGGTGTCGACTGAGAGAGGCAGGGGGAGAGGGGGGAGAGGAGACGAGGAGGGGGACGAAGGAAGAAAATAATAGAGTAATATTACAGGCTTCTAACAATGGCTGCTAAATCGGACGGGGTCCTGAAGATAAAGAAGAGCGATGTGGCCTTTACACCCCTGCAGAACTCGGAGCACTCCGGCTCCGTGCAGGGGCTCCACCACCCGGGCGGCCAGCCGGACTCTTCCGGAGCCGGGGATGGAGACTTCGCCAACGGGGAGTCGCGGTGCTGCGGCGGTGGAGGCTCCAACACGACGTGCCTTCACCTGGGCCGGGAGCAGCAGAAATACACGCTGTGGGACTGCCTGTGGATCGTCGCCGCAGTCGCTGTGTATCTCGCCGACGTGGGCACCGACGTGTGGCTGTCGGTGGACTACTACCTCCGCCGCGACTACTGGTGGTTCGGCCTGACGCTCTTCTTCGTGGTGCTCGGCTCCTTCTCGGTGCAGCTCTTTAGCTTCAGATGGTTCGTCCACGACTTCGGCACCGAGGACGGCGCGGAATCCGCCGCCGACTGCTCCCACATGGACGGTAATAAGCTGCTGAGCGGTTCCGCCTCGCACGGAGACGTTACCGCTCAGCACCACCCGGCCACGCCGCAGAGACAGGCGTCGACCGCCAGCAAGAACACAACGACCAACAGCACGGCGAGCACCGCGGCCGGCAGCAGGAGGAAACGATCGGCCTACTACTCCTTCTGCGCGTGGTTCGGCCAGTCTGTCATCCACATCCTCCAGCTGGGCCAGATATGGAGGTAGGTTTTGGAGGCCTCGGGATAGGTTACAGTGATGGGGGTGCAGTGTGTGTGTGTGGAATAAATGAATGAATGAGCAGAGGGTTTGTCTGACTGTAGTTGGCACTCTTGGCACCATGGTGTCCTCTGAATGGTGCCAGCTCCTTCAGCATGACTACCAGCTGCCATCTTTTAGCCTGCTCTCTCCTCTGCAGGGCCATCACACACAGGCTGCTGCGAGGCTGCAGGTCATTTCTTCTCCTCTCTTTCTCACAGGTCTGGAGAGATGACACCAGCTGTGTAAGAAACACAGACAGCTGGCTCAGACCTGTCTGTCACGTAAGGATGGGAATGATTTGAATTGTTGATGCAAATGGGGAGAACTTCCAGCTGCTGGGTGAAGTGATGCTTCTTTACTGTATGCAACAACAATTATCTTTAAGATAAACTTAGGTATTCTTAAATAATGTATAGGGCTTATGATGAATTACTGCATGGATTTAAACAGGATATATCTTTACGTTCTGTTTCTCACCACGGGGCTTTATGTGGTCAAACCTAACAGATCATTTGTTCTCTATGCATTCATGGATTTTTCTATCAAATGATTTTGACATGAGCCTGAGTTACAGACTCAAATGTTTGCTGAGCCTCTAAAAGAAGAGCAGACTCTGTTCTAGTAGAAATATGAAGTTATTGGTGTCACATGTGTGTGTATATTGAATTAATTAGGACGATGCATTTAACATATAGTTTCAATACAGAAAGTGAAACTGATGCTGCACAGAGATTTTAGAGAACTTGAATATTTCCAAGTATTATCCTAAGTTTGGACTTTGCATCTACAGTTTATGAAATATACATTCAGTAACATTAAACCCAATAACATTATATCAGGATACAATAAACTACATAAACCACAGTGTAACATTACAAAAATCATTTAACCATTTTATTCAGTTGGTAATGTGATCCAGAGTTTTTCAGCCTGACAGTTCAAATGTAGATCAGTGATGTTGTATGCTACAGTTTCCATTCACCACGCTTCTATTTACTCTGTTACTCTCGTGTCTTTCACAGATCTGTAGAGAGCTTCAGGGGCCAGATTGGTTTAAGAAAAAAACAGAATGCATAAAGCTGTCCAAACGCAGTAGTAGGTTGTATCTTTTCAGTATGTGGCAGCGATGCCACCGGCAGGTTTTCTGTTCATCATTTTCAAGGCCTGTTTATATAATGATGAAAGGTTTCTGATCGTAGAGGATGAAGCTTGAGCTCGTCATACAGTATGAGAAATGAGAGAGAATCATAGAGGGCTGTATGAGCTGCTATGTAGTGCCATGATTAAACTAAAACAATTGAGATTGTTTTTTTTTTTTCTTCATGTTTGTCAGTCTTGAGCTGAGGATGTAAAATTATAACAAAGAAACTTGATCTCATGAACCTTTTCTTTTTCTTTACTCTTTATCTCAACATTTATCGTTTTATTTAGATTCAAAACAAAGATGATTTAATTCCAGCCACTGATGGACCAGGGATGATGTCCTAGGTAACTGATTTCCTATTCGATAAAATGGAAATTTTAATTCAGTTTAACTGAACTAGTCTAAAGGTAAGAAAAAGGGTCAACATTTAGCACAATTTATTTAGAAAATTGTCAGTTGGTAAACTACGTCATTTAGTTTGCTGAGTGTGGCTAACGTTAGCAGCATTAGCGCCACTAGCCTCCAGGCCTCATCGGATGTTAACGTCTACTCGTCTGTGTAGAAAGTGGCCGCACATTGCTCGGGTCAATTTGCCAGTTTAAAAACAAACAGTCAACATATAACTTTATCTCCATTATGGAGTTCAAAGTAGTGCCAAACCGCATCGCTCCCACTAGGAGGTAACAGTTCACTGTGCTTGTTTACATCTGGGTTGTAGAGCAGGGAGAGCAGGCCCAGTAACTGGGGCTACAGTCAGTCTACGGCCGAAGTCTCAACTAGTGGGTGGCGGCTGAATTACAGTTTGAGCATAACATTAGGTTGGCATCAAGGGCCAACCTAAATATATCGTTTGTTTAAAATTCTGGTATGATGACAACCCTACCCTTCATAAGCAAATGTAATAGTCAATGATTAAAAATGTGTGATCAGATGAAGGCATTAAATCAGCATACTGTATTTACATTAAAGGCATTTTTGGCTATCTGGTGTCATAATGGGAATGATTTATGCCCCACACAGGTGTTTGGAGAACAGTATGAATGAGTTGACACAACAACATTAAACATACTTATTGTCTAAGTGAAGCAGCTAATACTTCACAAAGGATTCTGGGATATCTGGTGATGATGATGATGATCAGACGGGTCGTGTAGCGGAACAGCATAATAGATTCTAAAATAGAGATCACTGTTTCTTTGGCTGATTCCAATTTCTGATTTTTTCGAGGTCATACCTGCCGATTCTGAATAACTACGATCTACATGAAATAGTCACACTATTTCATGAGGTCATTACTCGCAGTGACTTTCCCGTTTGCCTCTCGCTACCTGATCAGTATTTGCAGGAGTTTTTTTAATCTTGAATCCATTAGTTATCAATATGCATGAATCTATACTATTTCCTTCAAAGTGATATGTCTCAGTTTTAGATTTTTTTTTATTCCCTCAGAGATAGGACAGAGATGGAACTCAGTTCCATTGTGACTACCAACTTTTCAAATATGGCAGCTTTGTCATTTAGTGGCTGTATGCTACAAAATATGGCAATAAAGGAACCCCTCTGTGTGTCAAGTGACATGTATTATTGTTTACCTGAGTCTGTGGTCAAGTGTTGAATCACACATCTGGAGCATCTGGTGAGACTTTGAAGAGTTCAGTTTGGGGATAATAATGAAGCAACATCTTAAAAACTTATTGTAACAAAAAGAAGTGGACTTCTTTTGACAGTCACACCAATGATTGATTTTGGCAAATTCATTTGATGTCAACTGACTCCTACAATTTTAATTTTTTAGAGAATGTGGAAAATGAAGGTACAGGATAGTTGGTACTTTTGAGACAGTCAGAGATGATAGCAGGATGGAGGTGAGCAGAAGGATCATGGAAAGTTGAACCGTGTTTACAGGTAAAATTTTGGAGGCACATGGCTAATTCTGAGCAAATCATCACCTGCAAGCGTTTATATTGTTAATGTTATAATTCCTGAAATTACAAGTTAGAGCAGGGGTTCCCAAACTTTTTGACCCGCCCTCAGAATACCGGTCCTAGAGACCTGGTGTAGACCTCTACTGTCCCTGGAGATCTCACTTTGGGAACCACTGGGCCAGAGGACAGCCTGTCACTTACTGACTAGGCTGCTGTATTTTAAGCCTTCAGTGTGAGAGTGGGCTCATACCTCACGTGTAAACCCACAAGTTTTAAACTGTAAAGATTGGGGGGCCGGATAGCCTAGCTTAGTTTTGTCCCACATCCCATGTACAGAGCATAGTCCTCGAAGCAGACGGCACAGGTTTGGCTCCAACCCACAGCATATTGCCCCATGTTATTGTCCACTGTCTATTCCGTGTTTCCTACTCCATCCACTGTCCTCTACAGTAAAGGCATTTAAAAAAAACTAAAGTAGTATTATTAAAACAAAACAATTTTTTTTACAGATGCTTGTCAGACAATATGGCTGTTTTTCTATGGTGTGTGTGTGTGTGTTGCATTATTCATAGTGATCTTTCTGAGCTGGAGAGGGACAGTGGGGGTGGGGAGGGGGGTAAAAAGAGCAGCAGACTGTAACATAATCTCTCCCCCTCCTTTCTTCCCTCTCTCTCTTTTGTTTTCTTGTCTTGAGGTTTAGCAGTTCTTGTAATTTCTCTCACACTAATAACAGAAATGCCATCAATGTCCATGTTTATCACAGTGCAGCAGGGTGAGTCCCTCAACCACAGACATACAGACGATTATTGTGCTGGTCTCAGGATATACACATCACCATCCCCTCCCTCTCGCACACGGTGAATATTTCCTGCCAAGTTTATTCATCAGCTCACCAGGACTTGTTGTGTCAAATGTCCTTGGGGGCTAGCAGTGAAGAGTCTGGGTAAAGTGGGCTCAACTGTGATAATTCATTAACTGTCCTGGATCAGGTCTAAATTATTTGAGCCTCAGTGATGAAGTAGCTGCATGAAAAAATGAAAAGCATCTGTACAAACACATGTGCTGTTAAAATACTAGTAGCCTAAAAAACAGGAAAAAAGGACTGTACATGAAGGTAGCTTTACATGGGTCATGTTTGTCAATCTGCATTTTGATGGCCTCACATAAACCCTGAATGAGAGGCTGAATGAGATGACTTCTGTTTTTACGTGAAGTGAGTGAGGCGGTCAGACACACACACACACAGACACACACACACACACACACACACACACACGTGAACAAGTACAAGCTGCTTTTATATCTTCAGCCAAGATTTAATTTTCTAATTCTTTATTGACAGTGTTGGTTAATTTCATGGCCCATTAGCCTGCTGCTAAATGACCGCCATGTGTTTGTGATATTTCAAAGAGGAGATGGAAATGAATTAGGGACACTGACAGAGACACACACACACACACACACACACACACACACACACACACACACACACACACACACACACACACACACACACAAAACTAGGCCACACAGACTTAGAGGTAATAATGAATTCACTTCATTAGAGGAGCTTTGCCTACGGTCTGCAGAGGTACTGTGTGTGTGTGTGTGTGTGTGTGTGTGTGTGTGTGTGTGTGTGTGTGTGTGTGTGTGTGTGTGTGTGTGTGTGTGTGTGTGTGTGTGTGTGTGTGTGTGTGTGTGTGTGTGTGTGTGTGTGTGTGTGTGTGTGTGTGTGTGTGTGTGTGTGTGTGTGTGTGTGCAGCTCAGACGGTGAATATGTTGCAGATAACGATCCATACTGAAAAACTGTGTTTAAGATATGTAGAAGAAGTTCCTTTTCATGTCTTTTGCTGCCCTTTAAAGTTGTTTCTAAAGGTGTTACTAATAAAAACAAAGTGGAGCCATGCTCCGTCTATAAATTAGGATTTAAGACTTTTATAACACAGGTTGGACACATTGATGCTCAGTTTGAAATGTGCTCATTTGTTTCCCCCAGTTGTTAACCTGCAATATGTATCCACTGAATGTACTCATCATCATGTGTCCTTATGTGGCACTGTGCCTTTTTTCCCCCAAAACTATATGGTTTTGATTTGAGAACGATACGTGTTATCCATAGTCAGGCACGTAGCTGACCTGATTGATAGGTGAGTGCAGAGTAGCAGTGTGTCAGGAGGTTTAAAACCCGCCTCACCACCATCTCTCAGCCTGTCGTTAGATTGACTGAAAGTTATGGGAATAACTAAATGCTTATTTTTCTAAAAGACAACGCAGGTGATAATTGTTCGTGACGGTTAAGGAGCGATATTTATAAGTATTGATTTTAAGTTTGGAGAAAATGTATGACTGAACTCATGTCCACTATATTGAACAATTAAAATGACTACAGGCACCTTGCTGTTCTCGCACATGTTTGATGAGGAGTTCCTTTTTTTCCTTCTAAAAATCAGTTAATTTATTTAGTTTAACTTTAACTCGCAGGTTTTTTTTTTTTTTAAGAAAGGAAAAACATTACTTTGTCTCACTTTATACTATGTGTGTCTATGGGAAGAGCTCAAATTCAAATCCATGCTCTCCCATAATATTTGCTCTCCCATTAAATGTCTTCTGTTAGCTTTCTGTAAACGACAGAATCTGAAATTCAAGAACTTAAAATTATATTTGACATTTTAGCACTCGTTCACATGAGTATTATATTCAATTTCTGCCAGCCTGAATCTTACACACCTCTGTTTCTGACTCTTATCATCTGTCCTGTGAGGCATACAAGCCCCAAAATAAACGACTGATTGGTTTCTGTATGTCCTCTGTTGACTTTCATTAAAGTTGTATGTGCTCATTCAGCTCTCTACAATCCAAGAGAGAGGAGCTAAATGCATCACACACAACCAGCCAACAGGTGGCAGCAGAGGGATGCATCCAATGAATGGAGCTACACATGTCAGGGCACGCAGTGTAGCAGTTCATCATACGAGGGAGTTCAGTCCCTGTTGGGGTTGAGGGGTAATTCTTCAGAAGGTTCTTTCCAGGCACAAACATCACGTCACTGAATGCAAAGCCGTTTTTGTCAACAGAATTTGGAACTGAAATACAGAGTGTCACATGATGAAATCTACATCAGGGATTTTGCATGGTTAATTTCATAATTTCCTTAAATTTTCAAATTGGGAAGTTGGACTGAATGGATTTATAACCCTATTCACTTCACTCACACTCAGCTGTTATGTGTTTGTTTGTGCAAATACAATTGTTTTTTCTTTTCACAAGGAACACAAACCCAGGTTAGCTCTGCACTTACACCTGTTTTTTATATATTTTAAAATCCAGAAATCTTTTTGAGACAAACACAGTTGGTAAACTCGGGAGGATTTCATGATTTGTAGAAATTAACAGATGAAACTGAGGGACTTAAAGAACAAATAACAAACAAACAAATATTGTGCAATGATAAAAAACATAGACGTAGCAATGTCACTTATTGGTTTCTGGAGTTGCATTTTGAAGCTCAACGATGGCAGTCGCCATATTGGAAATGCTGTTCCCAACTAACTTTTGGTTAACTTAGTAACAGGTAAAGAGTTGGAGCTGAGGCGGGTCTGAAGCCTCCTGACAAACAGCTACAACACACCAATCCCAAGCCAATACTTATGAAAAGTAAAATTCAGTATAATGTGTGCTGATCATTTTTGGCACCAGGCTGTAAACATGTTAATTCTGCTGTAACATTTTGACTTCCAAGGCTTTCAGGGCTTTTACAGCTCAAGTGGACAATGGAGAGATGATGGTTTTTTTTTTGCACTTTCGCATTGGCTTGATTTTTCAACACTGGAGGTTACCGCTTGGCAATAACTATCAGTATTATCAGTCAAGTAACTTTTAAATGTTCCTACTACTTTGTAAAGTATTTCCAATAGAAAAGTAAAGTTGAAGGGCAACGTGTGAACCAAGTTCAGTTGTTGAGAGTGAGGTGGTCTTAACTGTCCAGTAAAGATGAAAGCACGATATTTATCTTGATTCTGATTCTGATATTTAACCTCCAGGTATTTCCACACCATCTACCTGGGCATCAGGAGTCGACAGAGTGCGGAGACGGAGCGATGGCGTTACCACTGGAGGATGGTCTACGAGTTTGCAGACGTGAGCATGCTGCACCTGCTCGCCACCTTCCTGGAGAGCGCCCCACAACTGGTGCTGCAGCTGTGCATCATCATACAGACACACAAGCTCCAGGCCGTGCAAGGTAACACACACATACACACAGAGGCAGGAGCCAGCGGCGGCACCTAATCAGCAATCATAGCACCAGCACTTTTTTTTTTTTACTGTTTATTGTTGAGAACCATTTTACTCTGATTTGCCAAGTTTTAGTGGTTTTGAGACTAAAGTACCTTCTACTACTGTGGTTTTCTGTTGTTTTTTCTGATTTTGTGTTTAATCTGTGCGTCCACTAACAAAATACTGCCTTCATTTGTTATTACAGCAATGAAAATAAAGATTTATTCTATTCCATGTTAATGCATTGTGTTGCAGGTATGACCGCAGCAGCCTCTCTCGTCTCTCTGGCCTGGGCTCTCGCCTCCTATCAGAAAGCCCTGCGAGATTCCCGAGATGACAAGAAGCCCATCAGCTACCTGGCCGTCATCATTCAGTTCTGCTGGCACTTCTTCACCATCGCCGCGAGGGTCATCACCTTCGCCCTGTTTGCTTCCGTGTTCCAACTGTACTTCGGCATCTTCATCGTCCTGCACTGGTGCATCATGACCTTCTGGATCGTCCATTGCGAGACAGACTTCTGCATCAGCAAGTGGGAGGAGATCGTGTTCGATATGGTCGTGGGCATCATCTACATCTTCACCTGGTTCAACGTCAAGGAGGGACGGACAAGGTGAGGACTCTGAAGTCAAAATCCTTGTCACTGGCTGGATTTGTATAACTTAGTTCTCTTATTGTGTGTTTGTCACCGTCCTACAGCTGTAAGGTTGTAGAGTTAAAAGGTTTTTCTGCATCAAAGTCAGATTGAGCAGAAGCCCCGTATACCACTGCAACTCAAAAACCTTACTGTCTGCATTGAAACTGAACACATACTGCATATTATTTGACCTTTGTCATGACCTGGCTCAGGAGGTCACAGGTTTATATTTAAACAATTCTTTATCCAAACAAATTAGTCCAATTAATATATGAGGAGTGGAAGTCAGTTACTTCATTGGAGTGTGTTTGTGTGTTAAGGTGTTGTCAATGCAAAAATAACAATAGGTTAGCTCAAGTTACCATATTCCATCCACCACACATCGGACACTCACGTTACACCAACAACAACAGGAAAACTAGGCGATGTCTGCGAGCTAGTTATCAGAACTGTCAGCTGCTGAACGAGAAGTCAATCAGCCTATCACCCTCTGGAACTGGCAGAAACGAAGGACACACACACACATACAGAATAAACAATATAACCAGCACAGAACGAGAGGATTCACACCAGAATCAAAATCTTTGAGCTCCCCGTCTCATACTGTAGGAAAACGGTTTTATTGATTTGGATTCAGTGACTCTGGTAAATATCTTGTCATCACGTCTTCTATCTCTGTTCAGGTATCGTCTTTTCATCTACTACCTGGTGATCCTGGTGGAGAACGCCGCTCTCAGTGCGTTGTGGTACCTCTACCGCTCGCCGGCCACGACCGACGCCTTCGCTGTGCCAGCGCTCTGTGTCATCTTCAGCAGCTTCCTCACCGGCGTCGTCTTCATGCTCATGTACTACGCCTTCTTCCATCCCAACGGGCCCCGCTTCGGACGCTCGCCGAGCGGGCAGGGCCTGGACCTGGACCCCACCGCCCAGTTCTCCACACTACCGTCCGAGGGAGCCACCAACTCGCTGCGCTCCAACCGAGGAGCCACCGCCACCCTGGAGCGTGACACGGGGAAGTACTCCGAGCGGGACGGCTGCATGCCGGTGTTTCAGGTCCGAGCCACCGTGCCGTCTACGCCGTCCTCTCGTGCGCCGCGCCTCGACGAGACCGTCATCAAGATCGATCTCTGTAGGAACCGCTATCCGGCGTGGGAGCGGCACGTCCTGGACCGCAGTATACGAAAGGCGATACTGGCCATAGACTGCTCGCTGACTCCTCCGAGGCTGCAGTACAAAGATGACGCTCTGGTTCAGGAGAGGCTGGAATATGAGACCACGTTATAGTCCTTAACAGGAATACGGATAACTGAGGATTATCTCACAGTGCGATAAACGGCAAACAGGAACCGTGGCAATAGGAATTCATCAGTACACTATCACCACTCATTCCTTATTGTCTCTTTCTGTTCATCAGCATCAGCACCCTGTTGGTAGTGATCAAATGAAGCCCGAGTGCAGCTGTCGAATTTGTTCAGGTGCTCTGAAGGGTTGTTGCTGTTTTTTTTTTTTTTCTTACTTTCACTCATCAGGGAAACCCCGTCTGTTATCATCGAAACGCGAGTGCTCTGACACTCTGCACGGACAACACGGTCATGAACCGTTTGGGCAAATGGTGGCGATAATACGCATCGCCACATTCCACCAAGAGGGATTTTAAAATCACAGATATTCCACTCTAACATATACGACACCTTAATAGGGTTTAGGAAAAGGAAATGTTCCCTCATTCAGCATCAACAGAAACACTCACACGGCGGCGCCTCATTGGTCGAAAATGTGTCTGGGTTTTTTGTTGATGATGCATCCACAACTGGGTGGGTGCTTGCATCGATAGTGACATGATTCCACTCAATGCTGCTGATTTCTTTCACCAATTCCCAACAAGAGGGGATGGGGAAAAGCAGCTGGTTATATGTCAAGTTGTGCACCCTTAGAGAGATCACCAGTGACAACAAAAACAATCTCATTACCTTGCTGGCTGTGGTATATCTTGATCATTTTTATTTGAATCCATCTGCTGCTGTTTGCTCTCTTGCTGGTAAGAGGTTTAGTGCCAAAAAAGGTTCCTTGGAACATCCTCTCTCTTTTGCAGGATTATAAAACCGGATTGTATGGTAGTCCAAAAAAAGTTCTACTCGGGCTAAGTCATTCAATTCCTCAAAGAGAGCTCTGGTCTCAACTGGATAAGGGTCGGACAGAGAGTGAACTATACACGCAGACAGGAGTCAAAATAGCATCTTTACTCAGTCATTGTGTTTTGTTTGGGAGAAAAAAAAATCTACCAAAACTGGCTAAAAGAGAGGATAACTAGAAAGAAAGAAGGGTTAAAAATCTGGACAGTCACCAGCTCACAACCTTTGCCCAGAAGAAAAAAATCTGTCAAACTCACACAATGCCAAGGCAGAATCTTTCCGGCAGCTCAGCTGAACGATGTGCAGTCAGCCACATAAACCTGGCTGTGCAGCGACACTGATGTTTGTGGTGGAGAGGGCAGAAAAGAAACTAGTCAACTACATACAGGAATGAAAAGGAGATGACAGGGGAAGAAGACGAAGAAGAAGAAGAAGAAGAAGAAAAAAACATTGACGAGCAGCCAACTCAGCCAAACGAAACCACCAGGATGTACAGGACTCTGATATAAATGCAGCATTTTTTACTTTAGAGATGATGATAGAGGGTACTGAAGTCACTGTAATGCTGTGTATTTGTGGTAAAGTGTGTGAGTGTTAGTTATAGGTGGTGTGGGTGTTTGTGTGTGAGTGTGTGTGTGTGTGTGTGTGTGTGTGTGTGTGTGTGTGTGTGTGTTTAAAACGAGAAGCAGCTCAGGAGGACATGTTGTCATACGCCCTGATTCAGCTTTGTGATACGATCGATCGGTCGAGGAGTTTTTGACTTTGTGTCAAACTGGCTCCTCCATCCACAACGTCTCCTTCTGGGAGAGATGTGCCCGTTTTTTGTTCTTTCAGTTTAGCCAACAAACATATATTATGACATTGTCACACCCAGCACTAGAGGATGTCATGATACAGGAATTTAAAACTTCAGCATGATTTTACTTCAAATCAAACAATTTCGATACCTCGGGAACAGAAAAGTCCTACACATCCAGTATTGGATCATTTCTTGCTTTTAATGCTAGTGCAAATATTTAAGTTGCCAATATATCTGTGCAATTTAGACAGTAGCCACTGCGGTTCCACAACAGTCCCAACGTCAGTACGCCCGTGTACAACAGTGCATCCACAACAGCATTTTATCTGTGTCCCGGTGTGTTAACTCATTGGGCTCAAACTGGAACGCAGAGAGGAGCTCGGCCTCGTAGTCTCGACGTTACATGTTGCCGGGTCGTTCCCTGACGACTTTGCCCAACCATTCTACAAAAAAGCGTTACACTTTACACCCGAGGCAGTGATGTCAGAATTCTGCCTTCAAATGGCAGTCTGTAAGCACCAAGTGTCACCTTCTCTGCGCTCTGACTATATGTTAGTGACATCAAAGTAACTTTTACATCTTCACTAAACGACAAAGGGACTTGAGAACCGTCAGTATTTGTCGACCTGTGCATTTGAATGGAACCACCGCCGCTCTCTCTTTTTCTTAAGCAGAAGCTTTTGGTTGAAAATATCACTTTAAGAGTTCAAGTTTCGTTAAAGACTTGGTACTTGTCACTTCTATTGATGATGGAAATAACAGAAACTTTTTGATAACACATGTTTTCAAACGATATTTTGACAACCTTACCAAGCGCCACGTCACACGATAGCATTGTTCTGCAGGACGTCCTCTTGCTTCACTGAGAAATGATAACCAAGTGATATTTGGTGTACTGAAGGGCCACTATAAAAGCTTGATTCAGGGCTGTTATAACATTCACATAATTTCTGTGGGAGGGTAAAGTTTCAGCTCTAAACATTTTCAGTTAGTGACCCCTAAAAACAGACCACCTGAGTGCACTCTTTAAAGACTTGCTTCATTCTCATTCTTAACTCAGTTAAATCACTAGTGAACTTTGGCATGATGAATATTCTGTTGTTTGCACCAGGTTGACAACCATAAGAAAGAGATGATCTCTTGTCTTTATTAGTTGTATATTTGCAGTTAAGGTCCTTTTATTAGGTTTATCTGCAAACACTGGAGTTGTATAAATGACCTAAATGTCCTCCTGATGATGAATCGACATGTTTTTAACAAGAAGACAGTAAGAGTTCTCTTGGCCTTTTTGTCAGTCAGTGGCTAAAATGAAACATATCACCGTGAACCAGGAGAAAAAAGTCAGATCGAAAGCTAAAAAGCACATTTCTTCTCTGTAGCTTCATTTTTGTAAAGGCAGCTTTATATGATTTTAAATAGGGATGCACCGATATGATACCAGTATCAAGAATCAGCCTGATATACTGCACTTAAGTACCTGTTCTTGTACTTGTTAAACTACATACTGCTGCATCTGATACCACTTCCCAGTGTGATGATAGCCTCTGACTAGTTGAGCTGGTAGGCGGAGGAGGAGCCATGTCCACAGTTTGGAGATATTTCAACATAAACGAGGATGATAATAGAAGAGCAGACTGCAAACTGATAAATTGTCAAGAGGAGGGATGAATAAATGCTTCTTTAATAATAGCTCCATTTGAAATGTTTCACTGTTTAAATGAAGCAGATCATGGTATCTTTTTCATTTGTCACAGTCAGAAGGTGAGGAACATCTAGTGGAAATAAAACACGCAGTCAAAGTCATTTTAAGAACTGTAACGGTATCATAAGGTACTCATATTGGTCATCGTATCGGTGAGTACTCAAATGTATAAACCACACTATAAGTCTCTAGAGTTTAAGATGCAGTCGTTTTTTTAAGGCGTCTCTCCGAGTGGAAAAAAAAGATCTAAGCTGTCTTCATGTGTTATGATTTTTATTGTGTTCAGCAAAGTCCACAACATGCTGTTTCAGTGCAGCTGTGTAGCTCTTTTAGATATCACCATGCAGCGTGTGTGAAGCAGCTAGCTAGCCGTATGCTAGCTAAGCTCTCAGCACCACGAGTCTCTCTGCCCACCTCCTCTGGTCACTTGTTGTCTTTACTTCAATCAAACCAGCACTCCACAAGGTCTATTTACTTCACAGTTTACAACCGTTTTATTTAAATGCAGGATAATGACCTCATGAGGGGGAAAAGACGTTTAAATGTGACGCTGCTAACCTGGTCTGCGTCAGCTGTTTTTGAGGTCATGATGGTGCATGTCTCAGCATATTAAACTGGTATATTGGTCTCACAGTACATAGGACGCAGCCTGTTTTTTTTAGTGTCTTATTCACCGAACTATACGGTTCTTGTAGAAGAAAAGTGTCATCGGTGCATCCCTTAAGTCAGAGCATTTTACTTAAGTTTATGTGCAGTATCTCTAGAATCCAGTGTAGCCTTAGTTTAATCACCACAATCTCATGAAATAACATACTGATATATATGATTTATACTCAACATTAAACTACCTCAGTTTGTTTCATCAGATAACCCTCCGCCCTCTCTTGAGCACATGGTCTCTCTGAAACAATAAACTCTGCAGTGCTGCCATAACAAACTCAACTAGAACAATTCATTTAATTTACTCCGAAGCACAACACTGACATAAGGAACATTTGCAGACAATGTGCCAAAATGAACTTTGTCTTTATTTTATATAGTAATCATTTAAAAGGCACAATTCATTTTATATTTACATAGTTTTCCTGAAAGCTGATCATGAAAATGGGCCTTCTTCTTTTGAACTAGACAAACATCACGGCCAGTTATTTAAAGCGCACGGCCCTTTGAATTCACATTGTGTCAGTAAAGGAGCTTAGCGGAGTTTACCCTGCTGGCTGCAGAAAGTGTATCAGAAATAGAGAATAAAGATATCATCGGACTCCCTGCTCACTCTTATCGTTCTTTAAAGCTGCTTCCTCTGTTTTGTTTGCCTTAAGGAGAATATATTTCTATTTTTTTGTCTTTATTTAGAGCCAATAACACAGGATGTTGTTTAATACTGTAAGAAAGAAAGCACAGCTTGGTTTCTTTGTGTGTGTGTGTGTGTGTGTGCGTGTGTGTGCGTGTGTGCTTTTAAAGCGCAATGTATCAACAGCAGGTACTGTGCTTATACTGAGGACTGAGTGTTCGTCCAACAGGGAGCTTTATACACACAACAGTCCTCCATCCTACGAGCCTGAACAGCTGTCAGAGGAAAAGCTTTAAGACCAACTTGCTCCCAGTTTGGTCCAAGCTGGAGGACGGCATCCAGAGATGACACTACAGTACTACCTTGATTGTCACAGTTTGTGTTGGGACTCTAACCAGCTGCAGTTTTACAAGATTTTCATTTATTCGACCAGGAAAGCCTCATTGACAGGCAGCAGCACAATTCAAAGACATACAGCACATAAAACATACAAAAGATCATTACATCGTTTGTCACAGAGCTGGAAGTCATTCATCAAATTATCTTCCTTTAATCTACTTTCACAAAGACATCAGCTCCTCCAGACACAAATCCTCGTTTGCAGGAGCAATGTACCTGAAACTCAATTTTTCTAATTCTAATTTTTTACTAATCTTTTGCTGAGTTAGGGTCCTCAGATTACTTATGAACCTCAATGCTCCATAGTGCACATGTATCCAAAGATTTAAGGCATTGAGAGGATGCATGTATAAAACATCACCTGGAGTCAGATCATGGAATACGATTGGAAAACACTTTTTTTAAATTGTTTTGCAGCAAAAGGAAAACGAGTAATTTCTTAAATAGAAACCCAGCTTCATCTTTCACTTTTTAATGGGCTGCTGAATATGAAGCTTAAAACACAGTGACTTAACAATTAAGAATCTGAGGTTTATTCAGCAGGGAGCTCAGAGTCTATCGGGGCCCTAGGCAGAAAAAAATTACCCTGATGTTATAAGTATTCTGACACAGTAAATGATACTTTAAAAATGACATGGGCAGAGACCATGTTTATTTCAGTTTCTCCCAGACAGATTACTCATCTTCGTTTCCTTCAGTGACTTTCATTGACAAACACAGGGGCCCCCTTATAGGGAGGTCTCCTTCTGTCATTGCAAACTTTGCACATTTTGAGCCTCTGCTGTGGTTTAAAGTGTTTCAGCCCTTGGGGGGGGGCCCCCTACTGGCCTGGGGCCTCAAGCAGGTGCTGCCTGCTTTGCCTGTTAAGCAGCGTCACCGGGTATATTCATGAGACGATACAGACTTAACCACATCCTCCTGAGATGTTGGGATAGAAGGCAGGTTCAGTGGCTTTTTTCAAAGACTGAAGTGAGATTAAACTGAAACCAAGAAATCCCCACAAGGAAGGAAAATCCGCCAACATCGCATGTCTTAGTAACCGTCATGTCACCGTCACCACAGTCTTCTCCCCACACTTTGACAAATGATTTCAGTGTCCTGAATGTAACAAAAAGGTTCAGAGATGAGTAAATCTGTTGTATGAGTAATCCATAGTATGGTTCATAGTTTCTGTCCGACAAGTCGAGTTTGTCATTCAGGTATGAGGACAAGTTGAAGGAGACCTGTGATTGTCTACACAATGAGAGCAATGACAAACACTGACTCAACAAACCTGTGTGTGTGTGTGTGTGTGTGTGTGTGTGTGTGTGTGTGTGTGTGTGTGTGTGTGTGTGTGTGTGTGTGTGTGTGTGTGTGTGTGTGTGTGTGTGTGTGTGTGTGTGTGTGTGTGTGTGTGTGTGTGTGTGTGTGTGTGTGTGTGTGTGTGTGTTTTCACCAGCTGATCAAAGCTC